CGTATGCGTGCATGCCCAAGATCCCGAGAGGAGAACGGAGGAGAAGGGATTGTGGCGTGGCCATCCCCCCTGGGGGGGTGATTTCTCGCTGTCTCTGTCTCTCTGTCTGGCAAGCGCACATGCCCTATAGCAAAACAAACAAACAAACAAACAAACAAAAACCTCTCCAAAAACCAAAAACTCAAAAACTTAAACCTCTTATGACATGTTAAAGATATATTCTTCCAAAACCAGCAGTTGATGTAATGGCTATGTCGCTGGACTCCCATGTAGTTGACCATGGTTCGAGTCCCGGACCCAATGACTTAAACTCACGCTGGGTGCATGTGTGTGCATGCCCAAGATCCCGAGAGGAGAACGGAGGAGAAGGGATTGTGGCGTGGCCATCCCCCCTGGGGGGGTGATTTCTCGCTTTCTGTCTCTCTCTCTCTCTCTTTCTGGTGAGTGCACGCGCCCTATAGCAAAAATCTCTCTCTCAAAAAAAAAAAAAAAGGTCTTCCAAGACTTCAAAAGCACCTGTCAACTATGCAGAAGCCAATGGAAAACACAAACTGTCAGAAAGTTGCACATCTACTGTAACATTAATCATACTTTTTTGTGCAAGTCTACTACATGAACAAATACCTAGAGGAGTGCAATGTAGATTTTTATGAAGCACTCTTGAAATTTCAAGTACACTGATACTTATAACTTGTTTCATGGTGCATCACTTCCAACCCTTCAATTTCTTTTCAGCAAAAGCACTCAGGAGCTTCAAGGACTAAATGGCCGGGTTAACCCTTTAATAGCAAATGCTTTACAGCTCCTGCTCTCGCATATATGTCAAGTTTACACTGACAGTTAAAGGTCCTAAATCGCCATCAAGGAAGGATGAATCTGGTCCTGGTTTATCTAAATGACCAAATAATAAGATTTCAGCAATAACCAGTTGTAGGATATGTCCTTATTAAATTTGATAGGATTTTTTAAAAGCCAAGTAATGTAATGAAGTTTGCAAAGTGATTTAGATTAAACGGGTTTGACTTCTCAATTTGGAAGTGATTCAGTGCATAGGTACAGGCATAAAGGCAATTTTTAAATATTAGACTTTACATGTTGCTGGCCAGAATGTTGAGCAAAGTTAAATAAACATTATATCGTTTCAACCATCCTCCTCCATTCATAAAATAAACACGTGCTTATATTAGAGAGTGCTTTTCCCCCTCCATACAAGTTCCATTCCTTCCCGAGGAACTGTTCACATGACTTACCTACATGGTATGAAACAGGACAAAGGACAGAGCCTAGTTCTTGAGATGCTAACAATCATTCATAAAAACATGCCAGGTACCTGTGTGTATGCCCCAAAAGAGGGAGGAACAGAGACGGGATTGAGAAGTGAGCATCTCTCCCCCACCCCCCAGGGATGCTTTCTCACTTTTTTCTCTCAGCCAGTGCATCTGTACTTGGGGAAATTAAAAAAAGGGAAAAGTAACAGAATAGAAACCGCGGGGAAATCACACCTAGTAAGCATATTGTTTCATGTGTTTGTAAATGTATCTGTGTTGGGTAACATTGGACACCATGTTTTTTGTCTTTCATGGCCAAAACATTTGAAAGCAATCAGTGTACTAACTGTGTGGTGTGATGGAATCCTTTGTTCTCACTGCAGAGGTTAGAGACCTTGCTTTTCACTCAATCTACAAATGTTTATTTGGCAGCTACTTTGGTTGGTTGGGAATCAGGTGTTGGGGCAGGAAGAAAAAGATAAAATTACTTTGACAATTTCTACCGATTGCTATACATATATAAAGTTTAAAATAAAAACTTAAAAAGTTAATGCTAAGTCAATTACAACTGTTTTCATTTAATGTACCTCTTGATGGTTGTCATACAAACCTAAGTAGCATGTGTTGAAATTTCCTAGAGATAAAGCCTTTGGAGAATGTTAAGCTTCCTGTGCTGCTTGCTCATTAGTATCTAGAGGGAGGGAGATAACATTATAAATAAAATCTACAGTTGAGAAAAAAATTCTCAAAAAATGTTCTTTTCCTCCATAGGGCATGTGTGCTCACTGGAGAGACAATGAGAAAGAAAAAAAAGAAATTACCCCCCAGGGGAACAGCCATGCCACAATCCCTTCACCTAAACTGTCTTCTTAGAATTTTGGGTATGCATGCACATACAGCCACATGATTTTCAAGCTGCCAGATCTAGGACATGAACGCTGGTCAGCCATGTGGGAGTCTAGCACCTTAACCACCACACCACCTACTGGTCTCCTTCTAAAAATGAATTTTTAATCTACCTTGCTTTTACTTTTTGCTACTAATCGTTTTTTGGCAAGAAAATAATTTTTCAGCAACCAAGATTTTGGTCTCAGCTGCAAAACCCTCTCTTCAGTATTTTTCTCTGGAAGGCTGAATACCTTTCTTAAAAGTTCTGATCTTTTCAAGCTTTTATTGGTCAAGAAACCATTTGCTCTGAATATGTATATTAATAGGCAGAGGGTTGAAATGTTATACATTAAAAATAGTAAAATGCTTTCTTTAAATGAAATCCTACTTGGAAAACTACATACATCTCCCTCCCTTCCATCTCCTCAAAGCCAACCTATTGTTCCTGTGTTTGATACCAACCACAAAATAGAAAGTTAATCCTCTTGGTACTCAAATCTCTAATAGCGAACCTCAATATCGATTCTTACACCGTAATTACAGTTTTTATTTTTCAACTCTTCCTCTCCCCAACTCAAATATCATTTTTTTTTTTCTTTTTAGTTTTCCTATAGGGAGTATGTGCTTGCTAGAAAGAGAGGAAGAGAAAGCACCCCCCACCCTGGGGACCACTCCTTAGTCTATCTCCACTCTCATCTCAGGATTCTGGGTATACAGGTGGGTTGGGGACTCAAATCATGCATCTGGCCATATGGGATCCAGCCACCTTAACCACCATGCCTACTGGCTGGCCTACTTCAAATACTTTTAAAATGGCATGTAATGTTTTGAGAAGACATTCCAATTTAGAAATGTTTCTGATGCGAGTCTCTGATGAAGTTATTTTTGGCTTTTATAAGTGGTATAGTGCTTTATGGTAACAGGAGGCTTTAGAAATAAGATTTGTAAAGAATATTATTTTTTTCTTCTCTGGAATTTTTGACAGATTCAATAAATGTACTTTATGGCTTCTACTAGTCATTTGCAACTTTCAAAATCAGACCAACCACACTACCACTATTAACTATTTTATAGCAGCAAATTCATTTCCTTTTTTTTTTTCCCAGTTAAGTACATCTTATTCATGACAGAGAAGTTGTGTCCATGTAGGACAGAGTGTAGGGAGAGGGAGAGGGAGTGAGTGGAGATAAACACCTTCTACAAGGTGCTCCTACAGGATCTCATCATGCCATGACCTGTACATGCACCCAGTGGGCTTTTTGCAAGCCAGCCTGGGTGTCTGAACCCCAAGTCAGCCCTGCAGCTTCCAGCACTGCAGTCCATTTTGCTAGAATGAGCTACCACATGTTGATTTTTCCAGTTTAAATGCTTTTAATACTGTTTTAGTTCACTGAATCAATGTCATGTTAGGCTGGTGACATAAAGCTCACCCGCATTTTCTAGAAATAGAAGAAAACTAAATGAGTTGTTATATATTTAAAGTAAATGCTGGGGACCAGCAGTTGGCATATGGCTATGTTGCTGGACTCCCATGTAGTTGACCGTGGTTCAAGTCTTGGACCTGGTGGCTTAAACTCACGCTGGACGCATGTGCATGAGTGCCTAGGATCCCAAGAGAATAGAGACGGGATCACGGCATGGCCATCCCCCATGGGGGGTGATTTTCGTTTTCTGTCTCTGTCTCTCTCTGTCTTTCTGGCAAGTGCATGCACCCTATAGCAAAAACCTCTCCAAAAAAAAAAAAAAAAAAAAGATTAAAATAAATGCCAACAATTAGGTAATGGGTTTACTACTACATTGGAAAAATACTTTGTGACAAAATGATACTCTTTCAATCAAAGAGTATCTAGGTCACATGGCCAACTGTGTGGTTTGAGTCCTGGACCTGGTGGCTTGAAAAACATGCCAGGCCATTAGGTGTGCCTGCCCTAAATTCTAAAAGAATGAAGAAGGGATTGCAGAGTGACCATTCACCCTGGGAGGTGATTTCTCACTCCCTTGACCCCCAGAACCTCAGAGAATGCATGCACCTATGGCAAAACTAAAAAAAAAAAAAAGAGAGAGAGAGAGAGAGAGAGAATCAAAGTTTGGCTATAGCCTGTATATGCTTGAGTTGGCCTGCATTTTCCTAGCTCTGTGTTTACTGATGTCATAGCAGGAATAATTCTCCTATTCTGAAGAGGCTTTAAATATTTTCCAGCACATTGTTGACAGAGACAATATTCCTTTAAAATACAATTCTCTGGGGCTAGCAGGTGGCGTGGTGCTTGAGGCACTGGATTCCTACATGACCAACAGTAGTTCAACTCCTAGACCTAGTGGCTTGAAAATCATACCAGGTGTATGTGCATGCCCAAAATCCCAACTGCAGCATGGTCATCCCCCCAGGGGGGTGATTTCTCAAATTCCTTTCTCTGTTCCTCTCTATCTCTCTCCAGCAAGTGCACGTGCACAGTGGCAAAGACATTTAAAAAAAAAAAAAGACAAAAAACAAAACACAAAACAACAACAACAATTCTCCAAAGAATCTTATTTGAAGATAAAAGTGGTTGGTGTTTTTGTGTAAATCTGCCTTTCTGGAAATGACTGAAATGTTTCTCACTAGTTTATAGTAATGGAAATGTTAAGCATTTCACTGTGAAGGAATAAACCTGTGAGGTTTTATTCATCTAGAGTTGTTCTTATCAGGGAGTTGTACCCTATTCAGAACAGAACTGCTTTACAATTTGGATTTTTACCTAGAAAAATGGTATCCTATTTTAAAACCAACCCATACTTCTAAAGCACAGATTCTCTGTCAAAAACGTCTGTGATTTAATGATAAAAAGTTAATTTAAAAGTTCATAAAGTATGAAATAAACAATTTTATTAGACGAACTCATTTATTTGACATGTTAAATATGCAAAGGAAGATATATGAATGGCATAAAAAGAATCACATTCTCATACTACTTGAACACACAGCTGTGGTCAAAATAATGAATTGTAGAATGGACCCCAGGATTTAATGCAAAAAATCCCCTGTACAGAAAAGTTTCAGGCTTCTAACTTCACTGAGTCCAGTACTAAACGTGCTTCTTTATATTCTTCAGCTTCTTCCAAATCTTTTTCATTTTCCTGAAATGAAATGCAAATTAGGTTTAACCTTCTCATAATTAAGTACTCTGTTATTTACTCAACTATTACAAACCACTAATGTAAATAGCCTAAAAATTAAGAGAAAAAGGATCCCAGGCCTACTTTAAATATCCAAGGGAACTCCAGGTTTTCCATAGTTCAGTTCCTTCTTTATAGGGAAGGAAATAAACAGGCTTTTTTTTATTTTACTGCATAGTCTCGCATAATATATTTTCATGTAAAAAGTGAATAACGTGTCATCTAAAGTTACTGACTTTAAGTAATTAAACAAAAACATTAGGAAAATTTAAATATTCTCACTTGTTAACATGACATCATTGTACAAAAGAGATTAGGACTAAAGGTCAAAAAGGAAGATTTACCAATGTGTACATATGACAACATTCAGGGTGAAATAATCTTCCAACTCACAATAATTTGGAGCTACAGTGTCACACCAGTTAAATACAAACTTTAAATTAGAATAGTGAATTGCTACTGAATATCATGTACCCTAAACTAAATGAAACAAAATACAAACATCTTTCATTATTCTATATTTAAAGACTGAGTTCCATGATATTGACATACAGGAAACTTTTATAAATATACTGTAACGATAAGAGATGAATAAAATAATTCCATCCAAATTATTATACATAAGAAATTTTGTTTGATTTAAAAATAAAGCTATGGTCAGTAAGTCACGTCAGGCCAATAAAAGAAAGATATGCTTACAGAGAAAAGAGAATTATGTATGTATTTAGTGTAAAACTGAAAGCAAAAAAAATCGAGAATCTGCTTAATTCATACAATAGGTAAGACTTTCTTAAACCTCTACATTAATTACACTTTAAGTATGTCTTTGTTCTCTGTTAGTAAATTAAACCTCTTTGAGGATAGGGAAATCATGAAATACATCCTCGTAAATATATCACCTAAAGACATAATTTTTCTCAAGCAATTTCTATTACTGTCTTAGCTACTAGTCTCCACAAAAGAAAGCATTTAAATGATCAGGAACTACAAATGGTGTTTCCTCTCTTAACACAGTAATTATTTTTTGCTTTATCAAGAATCTATTTCAAAACCATAGTGAGCTTCTTTTTTAGCTGATTAGACTTATCCTCCCCTCAAAAGGTTTTTATAGATACACATGGAACTGTACGTCAACATTACTATAGAGAGCGAACATCTCTCTTTTTTTCCTAAAGCTTTAGTCCTAATTTGGGGGGATACAAATTTTACTTTCTTTCAAAGAATAAAAATGATCATACTGAAAAGCCTCACATTATTTGTGTTACTTAGGGAAACAACTATGAATTGGGAAATAGCTTATGTATATAATAATGAACAGTAACTCAAGAAATAAACATAAAATAAGATTAGCAAAGGAAATGTAAGAAGTCATAAGGTTATCAAACAGCAATAATAGTAGGTATATAAATTATTGTTTTTATCACTTATTAAGAAAGAAATATAACTTTCAATTATTCTTAGAGTCATTTATAAAATGGTTTGGCTAACATATCACACGGCATTTATACCAGCAAGTTCGACAGCAGTGTTAGACAGCTCCAATTTAATATGAGATATTGTTTATGTGAATGTTTTTTTCCTTCTCTCAAATTGATTTAGGTTTGAATCTATAAGGATTCCAGATTCTTTTAATACGAGCTCAAGTTCATTTGAAAGATGCAATCTTTCAAACTTTCAAACAGTTGACTCATCCTTAATATGTCAAAAAAGACCTTTATGTATAAAAACAAAATAATTCAAGATATGTTGGACAATACTGGTATTATGAATACCTACGATCATAATGCAAATATATTTAATTAACTAATACAAATAAATAAACATGCTAGAAACAGTACTTTTACTGGAGGTATAATTCAAAACAATTTAAACTCCACTAATCATTTAAAAATAAACTAGAATACTAGACAAGTGAATTAAAAATGCTACTAACTAGTTCTCTGTGGTAAATATTAAAAATTTTGGCTTTCCACATAATAGACTGAAAAAAGAAATTTAAACATAAGATAGAAACGTCTTACTTACTAATATCTGCTGAAGATCCGTATATGCAGCTTCCAATCTGCGCTGGCAATCTGGGATCATCATCCGGGACTCTTGGAGGATCTCTGCCTATAACGAGAATCTCTGTGAGATGTGCAGAGATGGCAGAACTTATTGTGTTAAGCTCACACCTTGGTAAATATCTAATGGTTTAGAGGAATCAGAAAAAAAAAAGTTAAATGGTTCAATATTTTAAATTATGTTTATTAGAAGTTAGACAATCATACTGTAAAAGCTACAAAGTACAAGTTTTGAACTAAACATTTTTGGTAATCACCTTCTCATGCTAAGTGAAAATTAACTGGAAAAGCTTTTCACAGAGCATTTATTTTAAAAGGTTATTTAAAATAAACTATTTCTCCTGCTGTCACAAAGCACCTTTATCCAAAATGGGATCAGCTGGTTATATAAATATCTCCTGCATCTTTTGAGTAATAAAGAAAAACAGTGTTCAGATAATATCACATGGAGATAATTACTGCATGAAAAAAGTTATTGAGTTATTGATCACATCGTGTGCACACTGCAGGAGGTTCTCAATGAAAGACAGAGGTAAAGAAAAATGAAAAGCAAAGACCAGCAGGTTCATATTTTTGATGCTTATCATGCATAAAAAGTTATTACTTATCCTTGTGTTTCATTTTAGGAGAGAGATTATTCTCCCCATGCAGTTTGAGCCAAATTACCAGTGTGGCACCCCTCTGAATCTGAACTTGCCGATTCCTCCTAAAGGCAGACACTACAGAATTAAACACAGGAATATTTATTCTAGAGAGTATTTCTGTATGTAAAGCCCACTACTCAAAGCTAGCCTGTAACACACCAAGTCAAAAAAGAAGAAGAAGAAGAAGAAAAAAAATCAATCCATGACTGGGAAATCCAATTAACAAGAGAGCAAATAAGTTAGTTTTAGATGCTAAACCTCAAATAAGACTTTTTCTTGGGGCCAGCAGGTGGTGTGGTGGTTAGGGTGCTGGAATTCCCACATGGTCAATAGCGGTTCAAGTTCCAGACCTGGCAGCTTGCTTTCTCACTCTTCTTCTCTCTTTCTCTCTCTCTCTGTTCTTCTCTGGCAAACTCATGTAGAAAAATAATAAATAAATAAAGTAAATAATTCTTTAAAAAAAGAGACCTTTTTCTTAAGGTAGGGGGAAGCTTTGCTTCCTTAAATTACTCACAGAAAGAGACACAGATCATTTAAATGTTTATTTCCAAAGATAATGTTTGGTCAAATGCCTTCAGATAAACAGGTCAAAAATCAGAAATTTTACTATCTACCTTATATAAAATAAAATAGATAGTCTATTGAACATTAAGAACATTGTATTTTAAAAATTATTTATTTTATTAATTTATTATTAATATTTTAATTTGACCAGAAAGACAGAGAAAGAGAGAAAGGGAAAGTGAGAAAGCAAGCCACCAGGTCCAGAACTCAAACGGCAGTTGGCCATGTGGGAGTCCAGCGCCTTAACCACCATGCCACCTGTTGGTCCCAAAAACACTGTTATTTTTTTTTTTTAAGAGAGGTTTTTGCTATAGGGCATGTGTGCTCTCCAGAAAGACAGAGACAGACAGAAAGCGAGAAATTACCCCCCAAGGGGGAATGGCCATACCACAATCCCTTCTCCTCCCTTCTCCTCTTGGGGTCTTGGGCACTCATGCACATGCACCTGGCATGAGTTTAAGTTGCCGGGTCTGGGACTTGAACCATGGTGGACTACATGGGAGTCCAACAACATAACCATTACGTTATCTGCTAATCCCGAACACCGTATTTTGATAGGAACTTTAACAGTCCAAATACCTTCTTTCTGTCCCCAACAGTTTTGTCACAGCTCACATTGTAAGCAAAAATCAGAATTATAAAGAATGCTCTCTATCCACATCTGTTTTCTCAGGTGGAAATCTATTGCTGAACTTATAACTCTTTTACTAATAAAGAACAGACTGAAAATTCTAAACATAAGATTATGACTTTCCTTCAGAGCTAATCACACTATACTGAGACAGTTAATCACTGCTACTAAATTATTCTTGTGTATCTAGTTGGTTTAACTACATGTGAAAAAGACAGAAACATCTCACATTGGGCGATTCTTATTTTCTCTCCTGTGGAATTTCTTTCAAAATAGCTTACAGGAAATAAACAATATGAAACGAATACGAGAAATTAGGTCAAGCCTATGATAAGTCAAAATAAATTCTGGGCATGCACACATGTGTCTGGCATTTTTCCCTAGCTTCCTGGGCTGGGATTTGAAATGTGTAGTCAGCTATGTGGTATCTGGCTCCCTTAACCATCAGGCCATGAGATTAACCCTGTGAAATATTTTTTGAACATTTTAGTATTGTCACTGAAATGAGCTTTATACAATGTTATTCTAATTTCTATTTATTATTATTCTACCTATTAATACAGAGCAAGAATTCTCAATCAGTATATCAGAATGGGACTCTGACTTAAGCAGGGTTAGAATGAATCTTTCCCATATGCCACTTCAATTAACTCAATATGTTTATTATATGTCTGCAAAATGTTAGGTACAGAGAATACAAGATAAAAAAAGAGCTGGACTGGGACCAGCAGATGGCATAGCAGTTATACTGCTGGATTCCCACATGCCAACTATGGTTCAAGTCCCAGACCTGGTGGCTTGAAAATTACACCGGGTGTATGTATGTACATGCCCAAGATCCTAGAAGGAGAAAGGATTGCAGCACGGCCATTCCCCCGGTGGGTGATTTTCTCGCTTTCCCTCTCACGCTCTCTGGCAATTAAAAGACAGTAAAATATGAGGTGTAATTATACTGCAAAGGTCATCTCCCAAAATACGCAGACTTAACTAAATGAGTTATCCTTCAAAGTGTTTCCCTTGGGAGGTAGACATTCAAATGAATGATGCCTCTGTTTAAAACACTGGAACTGGGGACCACCAAGTGGCATGATGGTTAAGGCACTGGACTCCTACATGGCTGAACACAGTTTGAGTCCTGGACCCAATAGCTTGAAAATCACACCAGGCATGTGTGCATGCATGCCCAAAATCCCAGAAAGAGAAAGAAGATGAAGGGACCGCAGCGTGGTCATCCCCCTGGTGGGTGATTTCTCACCTTCCCTCTCTGTCTCTTCTCTCTCTCTGCAGTGAGTGCACACATTCTATGGCAAAAACCTTAAAAAAAATTGAATTCAAACTGTCAGTTTACTCAAATACTGACTATGTTAAGATTGAGGTTAAATCAAGACCCTGGTATAGACTTAAGATATTTAGCGAACATAACAGGATACAGTCCTACTAAAAACCCTGTTTTTAAAGACAAGTTGTGTTTTTGTTGGTAGTTATTCAAGTAAAATGCAAGTCTGAAGAGGCTTAGCAAGGCTCAGGTTTTAACAGTGAATAGATCACTGAACCTAAAATCTGAGAAATTTCCTTCAGTTAAACATATACACTGGAAAGGAAACATCCCAATTGGCCTTTCTTTTAGGAAGGAATTTTATAAAATAATCTGGCCAGTGTCAAGTTCTTTGGCTATTGCTCAACTGGGATAAGGTTTTCTACCATCTCTAATGGTCCAGGGCATTCACCAGAAGCTGGTTATACTTAAACCTCTAATCTACAAATAGTATAATTTTAGATGTTGGCTACTTTTGGAACCAATGATAACTGTATTATTAATAGTTTGCCAGATTGAGCTCTCAGAAATTACCTGGAACAATGGTGAAGTCTTTTCTTTTACATAGTGGTATAATGTTACTGTGTTTACATGTCAGAAAAACCATTTATGTTTTGTAGTTACTGTTGAATGGTTAAGATAGTAAAAAGAATCCCATGAGTCAAAAATATTTTGGGCCCTTAACCTGGAGCCTATCAGTAACAGCTTTAAATGTAAATGGTATAAACATGACAGTTAAAAGATAGAGATTCACAGATTAGACCCAATTATTGAGTTGTTGGAAAAGTCATGATGCGTTTTTGCACAGAAAACACATAACTTTTCCAATGACCCAATATATGCTGTTTACAAGAAACTCACTTCCAACATAATGAAACAAACTGAAAATAAAAGAATGGAAAAAGATTTATCATGCAAAGGATAATTTTAAAAAGGCAGGAGTGGCTATATTAATATCACATAAACTAGATTTCAAAGCAAGAGAAATTATCATGAAGAGGGATTTTACATTATCATAAAATGATTAATAATCAAGAAAACATATGCACTAAACAACATAGCTTAAAAATACATTCAACAAAAACTGAGAGAGTTGAAAAGAGAAACAGACAAATGTACATATATAGTTGGGGCCATCATTTCTTATTCTCAGTAATTGATAGAAATACTAGACAAAAATCAGCAAAGATATAAAAGAATGAAATGATATCTACCAACAAGCTATAATTGACATTCATAGAACGCTACCTCAGAAAGGAGAATATACTTTTTAAATGTCCATTAAATATTTATTGAAGTAGACCATATCCTGGGTCACAAAATAAAAACAATAGGGGCCAGACAGTGGTGCATCAGTAAAATGTGATGTTCTATGAGAAATCGCACATTGGAAAGTTTTCGGTTCAAGTCTGGAGACCATACTGAGTATTCCAAATACACATGTCCCTTCAATCTTGCGCTGTCTGAAGACTGCAGGTGGATCATGGAGACAAGACCCTGTTGAGGATAATGTCTCTCTCCCTCTCGCTCATGAAATTAAAAAAAAAAAAAAAAAAAGTAAACTTGAAAACAACAACAAAAACACATAAAACCTCCAACAAATTTAAAAGAACTGAAATCATACATATTACTTTCTCTAACAAAGGAGAACTAGAAATCGGTAACAGAAAGACAGAGGAAAAATCTTCACTTAGAATATGACAACCAGGCCAGCCTCAAAGTACAGTGATTAACCACTGTACAGTAGGATACCACATGGCTGACTGCAGTTCAAATCCAAGTCCTCACAGCTTGGAACACATGCCAAGTATGTATGTGTACATGCTTAAAGTTCTGATGGGATGAAGAAATAAAGAAAAAATGACTGTGGCATGACCACGCTCTGTTGGGACATG